GGGATGAGAAGCCAGAGGCAGAGGCATGTGAGAAGCTGCCTCTAGAGTGTCCCCAGGACCTGCTGGAGCCCCCCCCGACCCTGCAGCCCAAGCACTTCCCCTACGGCAGGAACGGGAAGGGGCATAAAAGGTACAGGTTCCTGGGGGGCTGTGTGGGGGAAAGGGGGGACATTCCCTATGGCTTTACCCTCTGTCCATGGGGCTGGCACAGCCAAGCGACCCTTGAGCTTCTCAGAGAGGCTGCCCAGCACCAGGAACACATCCCTGCATCCAGGAGAACCTGGTGAAAGCCTGGGTGGGGAGTGGGGGGGGGCACCCAAAATTCCAGGGAAGCTCCTGCGGAAACTGTCCTGCCCTGATGCAGCAGCCCAGGTTTGGGGGTGCTGGACTGCCCTATGGTGACCCCGGTGCGGGGTGAGGATCCACGTGCCCGGCTCAGCTCCTCTCCCTCCCGCAGGAAGCCGACGTTCGGGAGCGCGGAGAGGAAGACGCCCGTTAAAAAACTGGTGTCCGAGTTCCCCAAAGTGAAGAGTAAAACTCCAAAGCACTCCCCGGGGAAGGAGGAGTCGGGCGGCTCCTTGGCCGAAACTGTTTGTAAACGAGAACTGCGGAGCCAAGAGACTCCGGAAAAACCCCGGTCGCTCCTGGAGACCCCGCTCCGAGCCTCGGCCCCGCCGAAGGGCCCCGGCGCCCACCCCAAGGAGAAGGGCTTGGGCAGTGAGGCCGACGACCTGCCCTATCTCTCCACCACCGAAATGTACTTGTGCCGCTGGCACCAGCCGCCCCCGTCGCCGCTGCGGGAGCCTTCCCCGAAAAAGGAGGAGACTGTAGCAAGTAAGGATGGAGAGAACGGCGGAGAAGCTGCTAGGGCTGAGCTGGCCAGGGAATGCGGCTCGGCACCTTCATCCTGAACCTGGGACAGGGCTCTCAGATTCCCAAAGGGAGTGCCCATGGCGCTGGCAGAGGTGCCACGCTGCTGGCTCCTTCCACAGCGGTGGGTGCCGGCTCTGGGCTCTCCCAGATCCCGGCTGTGGCTCACCCCGCTCTGGGCAGGGCTCCTGGCTCCTGCCATCGTGCCACAGCACCGGGGTCACCCGGTGCCTTCGTGCCAGGTGGCCAGTGCTCCGGCGTGGGGAGAGCTCAGCACATCCCTGGAAGTGGCTCAGGTTTGCTCGTGTGCTTTGGCCGAGGGGGTGGCGACAAGCTCTGCCTCCCCCCAGACCCCCATCATCTCCTGCCGCAGCAGCATCGCCCGGCCTGGCTTGGGATGGGGGTTTGGGAGATCCCAAACTGTGCTTCAAAGGAGGGATAGGTGGGAAATGTGGGGCAGGGGCTGTGGAGGTCCCAGCGTGGGGTAACAGCCTCCCTCTCATCCCGCAGTTCCGTCTTGGAGGGACCATGTCGTGGAGCCCCTGAGAGACCCCAACCCCTCGGACCTCCTGGAGGTACGTGAGCCATCCCACAGCAGCTCCCATGGGAGCTGGCGGTGCCACAGGGGCCTTTTGGGCTGTTCCGTGCTCCTGCAAGGGGAGGGGGAAGGACCAGCCCCTCCTGGAGCAGGATCTGGCACCGGGATGACGCGCTGATTGCTGTCCGGTGTCGTTTCAGAACCTGGACGACAGCGTCTTTTCCAAACGGCATGCGAAGCTGGAGCTGGATGAGAAACGAAGGAAAAGGTTGGGAGCAAAGGGACCGACGGGGGTCTGGGGTCCCTGGTCCTGCAGGGGAGGGTCTTGGGGTGTCACCCAGAGCAGGGAGACGGGACAGGGTGCAGCTGGGATGGGAACTTGGAATGCTGTTGGGAGGAGGGATGCTCCTGCATCACTGGCAGCTGGCACAGCCCCCTCATCCTGCTGGGAGGGTCTGGCACTGCTCGTGGCTCCTCACTTTCCCCTCCATCCCGTTTTTTCCAGGTGGGACATCCAGCGGATCAGGGAACAGAGAATCCTACAGCGGCTGCAGCTCCGAATGTACAAAAGGAAAGGGATTCAGGAGTCGGAACCTGAAGTTACCTCATTTTTCCCTGAGCCAGATGACGGTGAGCCGGGGGCCAGGGGTGTTGGGGTGCAGACAGGGGGTGCAGACAGGGAGGGGTCTCACACTCTGGTGTCTCCCACAGTGGAAAGTTTGCTCATCACCCCGTACCTGCCCGTCGTCGCCTTTGGCCGGCCCCTACCCAAACTGACCCCACAGTGAGTACGGGGTGGGGCGTGAGGGGACGGGGCTGGGCTGTGCCTCAGTCTGGTGTCACCGCTGGGAGGGCACTGGTTGATCTGGTGCCACCGGCTGTGCCCGCAGGAACTTCGAGCTGCCGTGGCTGGACGAGCGCAGCCGCTGCCGGCTGGAGGTGCAGAAGAAGCAGACGCCGCACCGGACCTGTCGGAAATAACGGGGACTCCGGGAGCTCCGAACGCCTCCGGGAGCTCCGCGTGGCACCGCAGGCTCCGCCTCGACGCCCGCTCCGTGCCGACGGATGGTTTCGTTCCTCCGCCATCCCAGTTTTGTTCTCTTGGGTTTTGGGACGTTCTCCGGACTCGTTGCCCCCTCCCCTGCGCTGGCACCGGCCGAGGCTCCGCAGCGGCTGCTCCGCTCCCGTGGCCTTGGGATTTGGGATATCGCCGTGGGGATCACCAGGGCCCAGTCCTGGTGTCTGGAGGTGCCAGCCGCGTCCCCCTGGGACTCGCCCGCCGCTGCCTTCGTGTTGCATTTAGTTAGAAAACGGGATAAACAGCGGGGTTTTTGTCGGAGCCAGACGGGAACCGGGAAGTTGGAAGCGCCTGGGAGCCACTTTTGGGGTGTTTTCCCCCATCTTTGGGGAGTTTTCCCCCTCCTCTGGAGCGTGTTGGCGAGGGCAGAGGGGAGGAGAGTTAAAAAGCAAAAATTTTTTTTTTTTTTTTTTTTTTGTGAAATAGAAACCCTGTGCGCACAATTTGGGGGGTTTTAATGATTTTTTTTTTATTTTATATATATATGTAATTTAAATGTTTTTGAGGCGGGTGAGGGGTGTGCTGTGAGGGGGGTGGGGGGGTGTTCCCTGGCTGAGCCCCCTGGGTGCTGTTGGACCCCTCTCGGTGCTGGGACCCGACACTGTGGCGGCTGGATGGGTGGGGAGGGGGCTCTATGGGGGGAGCTCCGTGTGTATCTTTTCCTTCCCCCTTTTTTCCCTTTACCCCCTTTTTTCTGCTTTTTTTCACCTTTTCCCCCCTTCTTTCCCCTCTCCTTTTTTCCCCCTTTTCCTGCTCTTTTCCCTCTGCTTTTTCTCCCTCTTCCCCCCTCCTTTCCCCCTCTTTTCACCCCCCTTTTCCTCCCCCTTACACTGACCCCACACCCCCCACTTTTATCCCCCACCACTCCCCTTCTCCTTCATTAACCCCGGAGCTTCACAGACAACAACAACCACCTTAAAAAAAAAAAAAAAAGCCGGAAATCGCTAAAAAAAAAAAAAAAAAAGCTCTAAAAACACCCGAGTTTTCTAAACACATCCCGGGCAGGCGCCGCCAGGAGGGAGGAGGAGGAGGAGGAAGGGGGGGGAGGGATTTTCACGCGCGTTGTGTGCACACCCGCTCGCCGCTTTATTTTATTGTTTTTTTATCCTTTTTTTTTCTGTTTTTCCGTCGTGTTTTTTATTTTTTTTTTTGTTTGGTTTTTTTTTACAATAAAAGAAGGAAAAAGGCCTCTGCCTGTTGGTGCGTTTTAAACAACACCCCCCTTCCTTCCAATCCGTCGTTCCTTGGGGCGTGACGTCATTTCCTCGCGGGGCAGGGGGGGCGTTGGGTGTGACGTCGCGGCGGGGCTCGCGCGCCCCCTGGCGGCCGGGCGGGCGGTCGGAGGCCGTGCCCGGTACCGGCGGCCCGTCCCGTGGTGCCCCGCGGCCAAGATGGCGGACCGGCGGCGGCAGCGCGCCTCGCAGGACAGCGAGGACGGCGACGGCTCGGCCGCCTCCGACAGCGCCGCGTCCGCGCCGGGCTCCCCGCCGGGCTCCCCGCGCTCCCGCTCGGCCTCCGGGTCGCGCTCGCCGGTCGCGCTCCCGGTCCGGCTCGCCGAGGCCGCCGCACCGCGCCGGGGAGCCTGGGAGCCGGGCCGCAGGGGCCGCGGGGCGGAGAGCGCCGGCAGGGCCGGGGAAGAGCGCGGCCGAGTCGGAGTGTGTGAGTGAGGGGGGTCGGGGGAGGGGGGGCTTGGGGACGCTGGGGTCTGATGGGGGACCCCAGGAATGAAGGGGGAGGGGCTGGGGAGGGGGAGTTGGGAGCTTGGAGACCCTGGGGACCGAGTGGGAGGGCTGGGGAATGGGGGGCACTGATGTATAGTGGGGGAGTCAGGGACACTGGGGACCCTCTGGAGGGCTGGAGGGTGAGGATCCTGTGCCTTGGGGGACGGGGGTAATTTGGGGTCCTTGGGGACAGTGGGGACCCTCCTGAGGGAGGCAGGGGGCTGTGGGGGAAGTCAGGGGTCTTAAAACCAGGGGGAGGCTGGTGTGGGAGCGTGGGGGGCAAGAGGGGGCTGGAGAGCTGGGGGAGCAGCAGGCTGGGGTTATTGGGGGAATGGAGCCAGAACCCCCTCTGTGTGCTGGGGTAGCCTCGGGAGGAGGGGGCGCTCTGTGGCCCCCCAGGACCAGGGAGGGGCTTTGCTCTGTCCCCCTGTGCCCCAGGGTGTGTTCCCATTTCTCATTCGAGCTCCCATCCCTGGGGTCCCTGCAGTGGGGGGCCGGTGGGTGGGGGCTGCTGTTCCCCCCTCGTCGGGCAGTTCTGCTCGGGCAGTTCACACCCAGGTGCAGTTCCCTCCTGTTTTGGGTTCCAGGGCTGGTTATTTCCAGCTCCCCCTGATTCCCAGCGTGTTTTCCTGGGATTGCTTTGGCGTTTAGGTTTAGTTTGTGTCTTGGCTGGTTGTTTGTGCTCTCTGAGGTGGTTTTTCCTGCACAGTTGGGTCAGTCTGTTCATTTATCACGGAGTCATGGAACGGTTTAGGTTGGGAGGGACCTTAAAGCCCATCCAGTGCCACCCTCTGCCAGGGGCAGGGATACCTTCCACTGTCCCAGGATGCTCCAACTTGGCCTTGGGCACTTCCAGGGATCCAGGGACAGCCACAGCTTCTCTGGGCAACAGTTTTACTGAACACTTTTCCTGCTCTGAGCTGTTCCTTCTTCCAGCCCCTTTCCTGAGCTGGGTCCTGCACGGCATCTGTGCATTATTCCCTGGTTTTGCCCTTTCCCTGGCTCTCCCTCGGCGAGGGAGGGATCCTGGCACTCCTGTCATTGTCACTGCATTCCCTGGAGACCCCCAGCACTGGCTGTGACACAGGCTGTGCTTTGCTCTTGATATTCCCCCATCTTAGCTGCCCTGGAAAGGCACTGGGACCCTGGGATTTGTTCCTTTGTGGTCACTGGAGCTGAAATTCCAAGGGTGGATGCGACATGATTGGGGCCAAACCTTGCCGTGGTTGTATCTGGGATGATGGATATTAGGAAAAACAGCTGCTAGGATGAAAAAGTAGATGTTAGAAAAGGTACTAGGGTAGTACATATTATGTGAGTAGTTTCTAGGGAATATTTCTTCATGGAAGAGGTTGTAAGATGCTGGAACGAGCTGTCCAGACAGTGGTGGAATTACCATCCCTGGAAGTGTTCAAAACAGTGTGGATATGGCACCTGGGGACATGGATTAGTGGTGACAGGGCAGTGCTGGGATAATGGACTTGGTGATCTTAAGTGTCTTTTCCAGTCTGAGCAGTTCCATGATTCCATGTTTCCACGCTGCAGGGGCCTGGCTGCTGGTCTGCCCTTCCTCTAACTCCCCTCTCTCTCCTTTCTCTGCAGGAAAGCGAGGATGGCATCGAAGGAGATGGTGAGTGGTGGCTTCTGGTCATTGTAAGCATTGTTTGTGCCCAGAAAAATAAGAAGAAAAGTAGAAATCACACAGAGTGCTTTTTCCAGCAATCCTGTGGTTGTTGCCATCCCAAATATTCACTTGTTACATGGGGCAGACATGGGATGCAGAGACAGCACACCCCAAACTCGCCCCTTCTGGGCTAATTGGGGTGTTGATCCGGGACGGTGCTCGCCTCCAGAGTCCCTTTGGAAGGGATTTGGTGGCAATGGGAGAGGAGCCACGTCCGGCCCTGCCCTGATCCCAACCATTTTCTCTCCCTGCAGCTGTGCTCTCAGACTATGAAAGCGCCGAGGACTCGGAGGTAAGCGACTGATTCTCATGGAATTTCAGCACAACTCCCAGGCTGTGTCCTTGGATCTCTTCCACTGACCCCTCTGTCTCCCGAGGAAACGGCCTCTCCTAGTGCCAGCCCCTGGGATACAGCCTCTGGCACTGGGACCAGTGTCCCTGTGCTGCTGGGAAGGTGTAGGGCCTGTACTTGCCAGGGAAAACCCTCCTGGCTCCTGAGACACTGGGAACAGGATTTGCCATGGCCAAGAAGGGCGTGGGAGGAGTGTGGGATGCTCGTTGGGTTTTAATTAGTTGAAATTAAAAAGCAAAGTGGTGGTTGGGAGCATCCCAGGAGCTTCCCTGTGTTCTGGAGGAGCAGCTGGAGGGGTGATGCATCCCAGGAGTTGGGGGTGCTGAGGGAATCCCACCCCACCAGTGCCTGGGGCCTGCAGGTTTCCCTGGATTTTCAGAACTCCAAGATTTCCAGGAAGTTTAGACAAGTTCCGGTCTCTAAGGGTTTTAGTGAAAGGTTTCTAGGGAAAATCCATCTCTGCTTTGGGATCCTTTGGGGGTCCAGTGGTTAGGGAACACACAAACCACCAGGCAGAGGGAATCCAAGCTGTTAACTCGGGAATTAATCTCAGTCTGGGACTTAAGCACTGCCATTAACGAGGAAGGAGCGCAGCAGCACAGGGAGGGAACGGGGCAGCTCCCAGAGCTCCTCCAGCCTGGAATCCCGCGTGGAGACTCCCGGGTGGCAGCGGGGTTGTTGCATCACCACCCGTGCCAGGATGACTCTGTTCCTGTGCCTAAAAATAATGCCCGGCCTGGGCTTCCCGGCGTAAACACCGGGAGCAGCCGATGCGCGAGGGCTGTGTTGAAAGAGGAAAATGGAGCAGGGTTTGGTTAATCACCCCGAGCTATTTTTAGTTCGGCTCCAGCCTCCGGAGGCTCCTGGAGGGTGAAACCAGGTCACGCTCCTGAGTGGAGTGAGTCAGCTGAGGAACTCCAGGGAATTTGGAAATGTGGCCCTGGCTGGATCCGGGCCCTCAGCGTGGAAGGAAGGGCCTGTGATCACCAGTCCTCCCCAGTTTGCAGGAGCCCTTTTAGGAGTGATGGGATGCCAGGGCTTTGTGGGGGATCTGATCCCAGCTCCATTCCAGAGAGCCTGTTGGGTCCTCACCTTCTTGGGAGAGGTTGGGTTTATTTAACCTTTGCTTTTCCTGTAAAAACACAGGGATAGGAGGAATTTTAAGAGCTAATCCTCTGCTTTTGAAGAGTCAGGTCTAACAACTGGAACAGAGTGGTTCAGATTCCAGATTTGGGGAGGTTCCTGGGGGTTTGCTGTGGAATCTAACTGCAGATTTGGGGATATTTTTGTGGGACCTGTTGCTGGGTCTGACTCCAGATTTGGGGAGATTTCTTGCGGGGGGGATCTAAAGGAGCACATTTGAGTCACTGGGTGTCTGCCAGGCGGAGGAGGAGGATTACAGCGAGGAAGAAAGCTCCAAGGTGGACCTGAAGCAGGACAGCACAGATTCCTGCGAGTCAGCAGCCAGAGCAGAGAAGGGCAGCGAGAAGCTGGACGCCAAGGGAGCGGTGACGGGCGAGCGGCAGAGCGGGGACGGGCAGGTGGGTGTCCCGCGGGGACGGGCTGGGAGCTGGCAGCAGGACTGCTGCAGTGGTGAGAGCTCGCTGGTTCTGACAGGAGAGCACGGAGCCCGTGGAGAAGAAGGTTGGGAAGAAGGTCCCCAAGCACCTGGACGACGACGAGGATCGGAAGAACCCCGCGTACATCCCGCGCAAGGGGCTCTTCTTCGAGCACGACCTGCGAGGGCAGACGCAGGAGGAGGAGGTCAGGTATGTGCCCCCCAGGGGCTCTGGGAGAGGGAGGCCATTCCAGGCCAGCTTCCAGGCCAACCTCTGGCAGCACAGCTCCTTGTTTCAGTGGGGTACAGTCCGAGCTTCCGTTATTTGCTCTGTGTCCTCCCAGGACGTTTCAGGTTTTTGTTTTGAAGAATAAATGCAAATAAACTCCCAAAAAAAACCTCGTGCCAGGGAGCAGTGACCCTTCCTGCTGCTTTTTCCAAGGAGCAGTGGGTCACCAGCAGCTGCTGGGCAGGAGGAGCGGGGTGGGGGAAGGAGGAATGCTGCCTCCTGTGCATTCCCTGCTCCAGGAATGCTTGGTCTCTGCGTGAGGGACTGCTCGAGGCTGCCACATCTCAGCTGTACATCCTTGCTCCTCCCTGTGTCCCTGCTCCAGGCCAAAGGGCCGTCAGCGGAAGCTGTGGAAGGACGAGGGGCGCTGGGAACACGACAAATTCCGGGAGGACGAGCAGGCCCCCAAGACCAGGCAGGAGCTGATTGCTCTGTATGGATATGACATCCGCTCAGCCCACAACCCCGATGACATCAAGCCCAGGAGGATGCGCAAACCACGGTGAGCCCCAGAGTCACACCAGGGCCTGGATTGTCCCCTGAGGGGCAGGTCTGGAGCCCCAAAGAGGGGAAACCCTGTTGTATGGGAGAGTTAATTCTCAGAAGCATTTGCCTACCCTTATTCCATTCTGTATTCCTGTGCCTGTATTTGCACTGTCACTGATCCAGTGTTTATTGTGTCTGTTTTCACTCCCCTGTGATCACCTTGGCACTGTGGTTTAAACCATGGTTTTAAAAGCCAGCACTTACTCCTGGGATTTCTAGACATACATCCCAGAGAGGGGCACAGCAACTCCTCCCACCCGGGGGTTTCTTTCCAGTTAATTGTGCTGTTTTTCCTCCCCCCAGCTTTGGGAGTCCCCCCCAGCGAGACCCCAACTGGTCCAACGAGAGGCCCCCAAAGCCCCCGAGGCACCAGGGGGCCAAGAGCCCCTCGGCCCCCCCACGCCCCTTCAGCGGCCGCAGCTCCACCAGCACGGGCAGGATGCCCCCCCCCAGGAACTACCCCAGGATGGGGGGCTACAAGGAGAGCCGTCCGGGCTACCGGGCTTCGGAAGCGGGTGTCCCGCACAGGAACGGGGAGCAAGCCAAGCAGGAGAGCGGCTACCGCGGGAAACGGGCGGAGCAGAGCCCGCCGAGGGACACGTCCCCCGAGCTGGAGGTGCCACACATCCACGGCAGCCCCGGGAAGGAGGAGGGGGCTCTGGAAAACCAAGCCGTGGCTGCTGACGCCGTGCAGCCGCCGCCAGACAGACCAGTGGAGAAGAAATCCTATTCCCGGGCGAGGAGGACCAGAGTGAAGGCTGGGGACGCGGGGAAGCTGTCGGAGGAGGCGCCCGCTTCCGAGGGGCTGGCTCCCGTCATTCCAAAACCCACCCCTGCAGAGACCTCCCCCCCAGCAGCCAAGAGCAACTGGGAGTCGCCAGTGGAATCCAGCGTGGATGGACTCGAGCAGGAGATGACCCAGATGAACCTGACGGAGCAGAACTGGACCCCGGGGCAGTCCCAGTTCATCCCGCCTCGGGAGATGAGGGGTAAGTGGGAGCAGCCTCCTGGCTTTCCAGCTGAGGAAGGGCAGTGGGGACAAAACCACGGAGAAAAAGGGGAAATTTAAAACATTCCAGCAGGCAAATGGAGTTAGGGCTGGGAAGGACGGAAGGGGAGATCCTTTCCCTCTCCCTGTGGTGTGAATCGCAGCAAGACTCACTCATGCTGCAAGAGAGCAGGAGATAAGGATCAATAACTAAGCTCTGTGATGTCCTGCTTGGAGCAAGAGGGAACTTTCCCTGTTTATCAGCTCATTTCCTGGAACTGGGCCTTGGTTGCCACCAGCTGAGGCCTGGCTGGGATTGGCAAGTCCCTTTGTGCCTGGGAGGAGGAAGAGACTTGGGGCAGAGTTACCTTGCTGCCAGCTGGGGACAGTTCCAGTTGCGTATCCATGGAGAGGTCATCCAGGTATAATTATCCCTGTGCAGAATTAGAGTGTTCTGGGGAGGGCTAGAGTGCTTCCCGAGGGGAATAAAACTGGATCAAGGAGAAGGAAGTGACTTGCTTCTTTCATAAGCGTCTGTGGGGTTGAGGTCATGGAACCAGGAGTCATTTTGTACTGGTGGGACTGGGAAGTCTGTGTGTGAACGGACCCTTGGACAGGATGGAAATGTGGCAGTGGGATGAGAGTTCAGAAGAGCTGAGACTGTGTATTTTTGGGCGTTTCTGTGCTTAAAAGTGAAGCGTCTTCACAAATTTCCCTTGGGACAGCTCTAGGCTGTGTCACATTCTGCCCCTGACTCTGCTGTCCCTTGTTTGTCCCTAGTGGATGAGGGAGGAGTTAATTCTGGGAAGCATTTGGCTCCCATTGATCCATTCTGTATCCCTGTGCCTGTATTTGCACTGTCAGTGATCCATGAGCACTTCCAGTATTTATTTAGTTCATTTTCGCTCCCCTGGGATCACCTGTGATCACCTTGGCACCGGGGTTTAAATCATGGTTTTAAAAGCCATCACTTCACTGTTTGATTCCAAAGGTTCCCTCGATAAAGGTGTTTACACCCTGCAGAGGGCTTAAACTGCAGCTTCGGATCCCACGTGGATCCTTGATCCACCTGGAAGAGATCCATGTCTCAGCAGACACAGAGCTTAGAGCAGGACCTGGGATTTATTTTTTAAGCAGGATTTAGAAGGTGCTGAGCACCGTGGGTGAGCGTGCAGTGACAAAACCAGCCTCTAATTTGTCCCAAAATATTTAAAATTACCATGAGGGTGACGAAGTCCGAAGATTTCATGTCATGGGAGAGAGAGCTGAGCCACAGCAACATCCCTGGGCGAGGCAGCTCCTGCCTGGGACCGAGCACAGACCACAATAATAACCAGCCTGTTCCTTCCTCAGGTATTCCCAACCATATGCACGTGGGAACTGGGCCACCACCGCAGTTCAACCGGATGGAGGAGATGGTAACGCGTGATCCCGGAGACGGGCTCTAATTGCTTGGGGTTGGGGTAATTAGAGGCTGCCTGACAACCCCCCCTTTGGGGGCGTTTGGGGGTGACCCAGGGGAGGTTTGGGTAGGGGTGGGGTGGTGTTGGTGGCTCCCAGCCCCCCACTCTGACGCCGGGACTCTTGCAGGCGGTGCCGGGGGGCCGTGTCAAGCGTTACTCTTCGCAGCGCCAGAGACCCCCCGTGCCGGAGCCCGCGCCCCCCATGCACATCAGCATCATGGAAGGGCACTACTATGACCCACGTGAGTGTTTCCCCCCTGCTCCCAAGGCTCCGTGTGTGCTCAGAGCTGGGCAAGCCAGAGCAGGGATCCCCCTCCTTTTGTTAGGGTTGGGAAGATCGGGGTGGCTTTGTCCTCTCTTTCCTTCGTTGTAGTGTCGCTGTGTCCCCTCATGGGGTGACTAAAAGGCTGCTGGGAGCCTCCCTGGTTGTGTTTAAACCGTGGAATTATCCTCAGTGTTATCCCCTCCCTGTGCCAGGGCTCTTAGGACACCCCAATTCTTCCTGAGAACCGGGATTTGAAATGAACTTTAAATCGGGTCTTTGGCATTTGAGAGCGGGGAGAGTCACCGAGTGGGGCTGAGGATGGATTAGAAATTCCCTCCAGCATTTAAAGCGTTAGAGAAAAAAATTCCCTGAGTATTTTCTTGCTTTCCGAAGGGAGTAGGAGGCTTTTCTGTTGGGATCACATGGCAGCTGTGAGCCTGGGAGCCTGTGTGTGCCGTGGGAGCTGGCTGGGAGCCCTCGGGGCTACTGGGCTGTGCGTCCTGCTGCAGGGGAATGAAATTCCGTGGAGCTTTTCCCTCACAGGCTGTCATGTGTTTGCAGTACAATTCCAGGGACCAATCTACACCCACGGGGAGAACCCGGCCCCGCTGCCGCCCCAAGGGATGATCGTGCAGCCGGAGATGCACCTCCCTCATCCAGGTGAGGAGCCAGTGGGACACCCCTGGGCCTGGGGGACAGAGAACTCTGGTTTCCCACAGCCCCTGTCGCTTGGGGGAATCCATTTTGCCTAGTTTTACAACATGGAAGAGACCTGCTCCCTACTGCAGTGAGGCTGAATCGGTGTCAGTTTTAAGGAAAGAAAAATTAGGTGTTTCTGGAGCTTCCAGCCAGTGCAGGGTGGGGGGATCTGAATCTTTGGCAGCTCCCAGCTGGATCTCTGCAGGTCTCTGTTGGGCCTCTCTGGGCTGAGCCGCTCCCTTCCGTGGGCACTGGGCTGGTTCCTCACTCCCTGTTGCCATAGCTCGGGGAAAAGCAGAACTAGAAGCTGTTGAACTGGCACATTCTCTGCTTGCTACCAAAACTATATCCTGAAGTGGATTTGTGATGGGGCCGTGTCCTATCCTGGTGAATCAGGACCTGGAACTGGGGAAGGGGCCGTGCCCTGGGTCCCACCCCAGCGTGGGGCTGCAGGGGGGCCTTGGAGCAGAGCGTGCTCCTTCCTGCTGCCAGCCCGGCCCCCCATGGGACACAGTGGCTCCTCCAGTGACATCCCTCTCCTCATCATCACCTCCAGGTTTACACCCCCACCAGACGCCCCCCGCCATGGCAAACCCCGGCCTGTACCCCCCGCCGGTGTCCATGCCCCCGGGCCAGCCCCCGCCGCAGCAGCTGCTCACTCCGACCTACTTCTCCGCCCCTGGAGTGATGAATTTTGGGAATCCTGGCTACCCTTACCCCCCCGGAGCTCTGCCCCCTCCGCCCCCTCCGCACCTCTATCCCAACACGCAGGTAAGCCGGGTGTGCCGAGGCTCCTTCCCAGGCAGGAGGGACCCTGTGGAGTGTGGGGTTGTGTTCTCCGAGGTTTTCCTGGGAGAGGATGTGGAGCAGCTGCGCTGCTCCGTGAGGGGGAGGCTGCTGCCATCCCGGAAAGGATTGCTCCCTGCGTGTGGGGTCTGGAAATCCTGTGCTGGGGGATCTGAAATCGAGGCGTTCCCCTGCGGGATGGGAGACAGCCCACCGGAAAGTTGGGAACAGGCACAGCCCCTCCAGGTCCCTGCTGACCCAAGGACACCTTGGGAACGGCTTTGGAAGTCGGTTCTCTTTGGGATGGAGGCTGGGAACTGGATGGTGTGAACATGGGGCTGGATTTTCTCGCTCTGTGACCCAACTCCACATCTAAGGTTGCTGCCGGGCAGCGAGGAGGCAGATTGGATCGTGTCCGTGAGGAGACAGATCAGAGCAGATCCCTGAGGAGGCGGATTGGATCGAATCCCTGTGAGGGTCAGACCAGATCAGATCAGATTCCCGAGGAGGCAGGGCAGACCATATCCTTGCAAAGGCAGATCAGAGCAGACTAGACGTGTGTGAGGAGGCAGATGAGCCCAGCCCAGCCCAGATCCCCGTCCTGGAGCAGGGCTGACACGCCGTGGCAGGACAGAGAGCTGCACGATCCCTGAGCTCCAGACGCTCCCTGCCCTTCCTGCTGATCCCCACTCTGGGGGCAGATCCTGACCCCTGGGCCACGGGGCTGGGTGTGCCGGGGAGCTGTGTCCCTGTGGAAAAGCTGTTGGGAAGCACAGGCACTCCGTGGCACTCAGGGAACTGCAGGGTGAGGGAATCCCCTCTGGCATGGGCCGTGTCCCGTCTCTGCCCACCCTACCAGGGGGACCCCAGCAAGGGGTGGGGGTGCACAAGGGACCTCAGGAGCTGATTTTCAGGGGGCACAGCACAGATTAGCCCCCTCCCAATGCCGGTTCACCCTTGGTGCTGGTGGGGGGCACCCGTCAAGCCTGGTGGGGGGCAGGTGGGGTCTCCCAGCCCCCCCCCAATCCCAGAGCTCTGACCCCGCTGCTCCCGCAGGCGCAGTCCCAGGTGTATGGAGGGGTCACCTACTACAACACTGTCCAGCAGCAGGTGCAGCCCAAGCCCTCCCCACCCCGCCGGACATCCCAGCCCGTGACCATCAAACCACCCCCTCCAGAGGTACCGTCCCCTCGCTCTGTGTGTGTGTGTGTTGTGGTGTGTGTGTGGTACCACCGGCGTGTGTGAGGCTGCAGTTCCCTCTCCCATCCCAAAATACTAACCTTGTTCTGAGGAAACCTTAACCTGTTTCGTCTTTGACCTGTCCCAAACCTCAGCTTCTCTTTGCAGGTGGTAAGCAGGGCTCCAGTTAATTTGAGTTACTTAAATCTTTAAAACTAAAACCACGTAAAAAGTAAGTCTGAAGTTGACTTTTTTTTTTGTTTTTTTTTAATTATTTGCTCAGGTTAGAAAAAAGATCAGTTTAGAGAGGGGAAAACCCAGCCCTAAGCTAGGAGGCAGGAATTCTCTAAAGAGTAAATGTTGATGCCTTATTAGTAGATAATTCAGGTAGCAGAGTTAAAGGTTTTTCAGGGATAAGAGCGCTTCCCTGCATGGGGTCTCCTTGCTCCAGTGCTGTGAGCTGTGCGTGTGTGAGCGTGCTGGAGTGCCACGTGTGTGTTTTTGGTTTCCCTTTCCATACCTTCCTCACATGTGGAAGCCGAGCAAGCCCGGACCCGGGCAGGCATGTGCCGGTGGGTTCCCGTACACGGGGAGGGCTGGGAAGCAGATTGTCTGATGGAGGGGCCCTGAGAAAGCCCTTCTGATGGAAAAATCTGGAACCACGAGGAGAGGTTGGCGCAGGGAGCTGGCTACACCCAGAGGGGTTGGGTGGGGAGGTTGGCACCCAGATATGGGGGGGGGAAATTTTACTGGCAGGACCCAGCCATGGTGCTGAGTCCCCCATGCCAGAGGTTTGGGGTGGTCCTGAACCTCTGCTGCTCTTCCCCCCCCGTCCCAGGACAGCAAAGGTGAAAAATCAAAGGAGAGGAGCAACACGTAGGGATGTGGCCACGGGAATCCCAGCACCAGACTCGACACCTCGGCGAGGAGGAAGCTGCTCCTCGGAATGGCTCCTTCCCTGCGCGGAGGTGAGGCAGCGGGATGAGACACCTGCACCTGCTCAGGGCCAGGCGCTTCCCCCATGGTCTGAGCGGTGCCTTCCCGAAATCCATCCCACTGCTGCCCAACCCCTCCTCCCCAGCGCTGGGGCCGCCGAAGAACCAGCCCCCGAGTCGGTCCTTGGCCACAGGTTGTTCTCCCAGTTTCTCCCGGTTACTAAATGTTCCCCGCTCCCTCCCAGGATGTCAAACTCCGCTGGCTTGATCGTGGTCTGTTTTTATTTAAGGAATGAAGCAGCTCCTTCATTAAAGCTGATTTGTTTCTTTTGGGTATTTCGTATTTGCTTGTCTGGGTAAGCAGTGGTGACGTCCCCTGCCCCCCTGACACAGTTCCTTCTTTGTTTCAATACTCTTTTCAATTACCAAATTGATTTCTACCTCTTTGGGAGCAGGGGAAGGGCAGGAGAGCCATGGGAGGCTGTTGGGAACGCACTGCCTGGGCAGGAACCACTTAATTTAGGAGCTGCTCCTAATTCTTTTCCCAACAAGCCGTTGGTAACTGGTTTAGGTCCATGTGTGTGAGCTCCCAGGTGGGATTACACAGGGTGACCCCCACCCCTGCTGCCCCAGCAGCACAGGGGGACGTTGCCACCTGCCCTCTCAGCAGCGAGGGGGGAGGTTTGTGGGTGCCCAGCACCCCGACGCTGCCCGAGCAGCCCCAGCCAGCACCCAAACCAGCTCGGCAGGGCCGGGTTTGCTCCCAGCACTTGGGAGTTGCTGCTGGGGCTGTGGAGGGCGTTGGAACCCGCCCCGACGCTCCGGGCTGGGCTCTGGCCCCACGAGGAAGCGCCTACCCATGCCTTGGTTCCCTCCCCCACGGCAGCCTCGTGTCCCCGTTCGGATTCCCGATCCCGTGGGGCGACTGTGCCAGGCCGATCCCGGCTGGCTCACCTGTGCCGCAGCCCCTGCCCCCCCCGCGTCCCGCCGGCCCCACGGAGCCTCCAGCCCCGGCTTGGCCGCGTCCTCGCAGCCGTTTGCAAATTGCATAAGGAAACTTGGCAGGGCCGGCTGCCCGTTCCTGCCCATTCCTGCCGGTTCCTGCTGCTCTCCCAGGCGCGTGCCGGGACGCCGTGGGGACGCGCCAGCTGCCGGCGCAGGCCCTGGGCGAGGGGGACGTCACCGAGCGAGCGGCTCCTCGACCACCCCGTCCCCATCTGTGGCCAGGAAGGGGGCCTGGTGCCCACCCACCTGCCCACTCTCCAGGTGGATCCCTCATCCATGCCCTGCTCTCCAGCAGAAATTCCTTCTTTGTTTGGTGTTTGTGATTCCGTGACCTTTCCGTGTCTCGTTTCAGCCGCTGAAGCCACATCCCTCGAGCAGAACCCTCTCATGTTTTAGATGTCACCGTGTCTCTGCCTTAAGGCTGACATGTGTCACTGACATATGGTCACACGAGCGAAATCCTGGACCTTACACCCTGCTCTGGGTTTTTGTGTTATTTGGATTCCCATCCCATGGGATGCACATCCTTGTCAGTGCTGTAGGAAGCAGGCCCATCTCGTGTCTCCCTCCTGGGGCTGAGACCTGCAGGGACAGAGTCCACCTGAGCTTCCCTGGCAGGACCGTTCTCTCTTCTGCTGCATCCCAGGAGCTGCTCCCTCCTTCCCAGGAGCTGCTCTCTCCCTGGGAGCCACTCTACCCTTCCCAGGAGCTCCTGGTGGGACTGGAATTGCAGCTCTGCTGTTCCTGGCGCCAGCCGCCCCCACATCCCCGGGAGCAGCTGCCACCTGTCCCAGAGCCCCCTCCTCTCCCGGGGCTGGGGGCTGCAGTGAGCCCCCTCCTCTCCCCCAGCCTCGCTGCTGCCGGGGAAGGACCAACTGGAGTGTTGGCGGTGCGGGAGCTGCCGCCTGCGCGTTTCTGTGCCGCGCTGCCTCCGCCTCGGCTGCCTCCGCCAGCCCCCTGCCTGCCTACCCACGCCAAACAGGGTGTGGGGGGCGTGTATCCCACTCCTGTGCCCACCCTGATCCCATGGAGGGAGCGCTGTGGTGGGCTCTGCCCTCCTGCAACAGGATGGGCAGGGGGAACGATGCTAGCAGGGCCAGAGGGTGGTTTCAAGGGCAGGGAGGACCCCAACTCCTCCCATTGCATCCCACCCCCTTTTCCTCTCTTCCTGCAGCTCTCCCCAGATGCTGCCCTCCCTGTCTCAGCTCCTACTCTGGCTGCTGGCAGTGGGGTGGGGGTCCCAGAGGCCCAGAGCAGAGGCATCACCCTCCTGCCCCTGCTGCCATGTTGCCTTATCCCTCCCCAGCCCCCTGCCTCAGTTCCCCTCCCTGGCAGAGGTCTCAGGGCTCAAGGGCTGGGTTCATCCTTTGTAGGGGGGCTCCCATGGGGGGCTCTCCCCTTCTCTAAACACCCAGCTCCCCTCTGCCAGCGCTGCAGCCGGGAAGTGGGTTAAGGCGCTGGCTCGGGGAGGGATTTTTCCCGGGGTGTAATTTTTCCCTCCTACACACGGTCTGTTTTGAGCAGTGCCTGGAGGCTTCGCACCCCCGGCTCGGGGCGGGGGAACGCGGCGGCTGCCAACCGAGGGAAGCGCCCGCTCCAGATCCCAGCTCGTTAGGAGAAATAACAGCAAATTAATTAAGCCAATAGTTCTCTCTGTGCCAGCAGTGCCCCCGTCCCTGCTGAGCTGGGAAGAGGGGCTGGGACAGGCCAGATCTGGGGCACCTTTCCCAGGAGGAGCATTGCCCTTGGCATGGCACAGTGCTCTGGGTCTCGTGCCCGTGTGGCCCAGTGCAGCCCCGCTGCCAGCAGCGAGCAGGGTCTCTCTGAGCCTCAGTTTCCCCTCCTGCTGTCAGGAGAAGCCCCTCTCCACGTGGCTGCAGCACAGGCAGAAGCACCGCTTGCAACCCTGGGCTGGGAGCCTTTGTCAGGACGCCCTGGGTAGAGGGGATGGAGGAGCTCAGCAGGGTGGGATGGTTTGGGGGCGTTGGGTGGGTTGTGGGGGTGTCTGAACACTGGGGCCTGGAGGGACAGAGGAGGGACATGCTGTGCCGTGCTCTGCCATCCCATCCCGGCAGGGCCTCGTGCAGCCCCGGATGGGGACGTGGGGACTTGTTTTGCCGCTCTCCGGCAGCCGCATGGATGGAGTTGCCAGGCAACTGCCGGGTGGAGGCGAAGCGGGAACAAAGCGGGAGCTGCCGGGACCCCCGTCCCTTCATCCCTCCCCGAATCCCCCAGGGTACAGGGCCCAGCAAAGGCCATGGGGTCACAAGCTGCTCACTCCCCCCCCCGCGGCCACTTCCACGCCCCATCCCGGGGCTGCTGCAGGGCCACGGGATTGCAGAGGATGGATCTGGAGGGGAGGACTGGGGAGGAGCAGGGTCTGTCCCCCTGTTGCTGCCTCCCCTTGCTGTGCCCGGAGGGTGCGAGGTGGGCCAGGGGGCATGGGCAGGATGGGTGCTCAGCACCCCGCGGGGGGGTGTGGGGGCACGAGGCTCAGCCGCGAGCAGGCACCACATCCTGCCCTGCCCTGACACCTTCCCGGCACCTGCCCTGGCACGCCGGGCCCGTTCCGGCCTGGCAGGCAGCGGGGGGGGAGTGCTGGCAGCCGGCCCGCCCTGCCCGCCCTGCCCGCGGGGGGACCCAGCCCCAGGGGTGCCAGGGTGGGGGGTCCCGCACCCACCCCCGGCGCTTTCCCACGGCGCGGCGGGAGCAGAGAGCTGGGCTGGGGGGCCGGGGGTGGGTCACCTCACCCCTGGGGACGTGCCTCTCGGTGAGGGGGACAGTCCTGTGTGCCCCTGGGCTGGTATGGGGGCTGTGGGTGCGCGGGGAGAGCGGGCACGGGGTGTGCCGGGGGTGTGAGGCAGCACGTGGCAGGGGGTCACAGTGTGTGACAGCGGGGGGACAGGCTGTGGGTTCTGTGTCCCCTGCAGGCTGCACGGTGTGGGGGGCCGCATGGCCGTGTCCCGGGGATGCGGGTGGAGGTACGAGGGGGAGATGCGGATGTGAGTAACGCATCACCTGTGCGGGGCTGCGGGCAAGGCGGGGGTGACCGTGTCCCGGGCGAGCTGGTGCCACCGCAGCCCCGGGCGGGCTCGGTGCCGAGCGCGGTGGTGCGGGAGGGGGCGGGCAGGTGCCGTTGGCGGGGCCGGGGGCGGCGACGGTGCGGGGAAAGGGGCGGGCAGGTGCCGGGGGCGGCGGCGGCGGGGCCGTACCGGGGCGGGGCTGCGCTGGCGGCGGGGCCGCGGCGGGGCCGGTGCGGGGCGGGCGCAGCGCGCAGCCGGTGCGGGGCGGGCGGGGAGCGGCGCCGGGGCCCGAGCGGAGCCAGCGGAGCCGCCGATGGGCCCCTGAGCCGCCGCCGCCGCCGCCGTCGCGCCCGGGCGGCCATGAAGCCGCTGGAGAAGTTGCTGAAGAAGCCGGGCTCGCACCTGCCCGCCCGCCCCGCCGGCCTCCCGGGGCAGGTACCGGGGCCGGGGTCGCTGCCGGCGCCGCGGCGGCAGAGCCTGTCGCGCCCCGCCGCCTCCCCCGACGAGCCGCCGGGGCCGGCGGGGCCGGTACCGGGGGCGAGGGCCGCTGGCTGGAGCTGCGGCCCCCCGAGGCGCCGCTCCGCTCCCCCGAGGAGCCGTCACCGGGCGGCGACCGCGATCGGGACCGGGACCGGGAGCGGGAGCCGCCGAGCCCGGAGCCGCCGCCCGCCGCCCGCTGCTGCTGCGGCTGCGGCTGCGCCCCCGCCGCGCCCGCGCCCCCCGAGCGGCTCCTGGCCGCGCTCCTCGACCGACTGCCGGCGGCTGAGCACGAGAGGGGCTGCGGGGCAGGTACGGGGCTGCGGGACCCCCGGGAAGGGGCTGCGGGACCCCCGGGAGGGGCTGCGGGGATGCCCGGGGCGGGGAGCGCGGGGGTCGCGGGGCGATGCGGCGGCGCTGGGGGAGACCGGGGGGCGGCCGCTGCCTGCGGGGGGGATGCGCTGGCGGATGCCGGGGTGGGAGACACCGGGATGGGGGAGCCCGGTGCCCGGTACGCGGTTCCCGGTGGGGCGGGTGGCCCCGCGCGGGGCGCAGCGGTGCCCGGTTGGGGTGACAAGGTCAGGGCCGGGTCCCCGGCAGGGCACAGTGCCCGTGGCAGAAGGGTGGGCAGGAACCCCCGGTGTGGGCAGGGATTCCCCAGGGCAGTACACTGCGGCGAAGGAGCTGTCAGGGGAACGGGGGCTCGGTGGTAGCAGCAGCCCAGTGAGGGCTGGAGGTGGCCGGGCACCGGGAGCCACTGCAGCATCCACCTCCCGGTTGGATGGTCCATAACATCCTCCCGGTGCTAAAATTAGTCCCGGCAGGAGCTGC